ATGTATTGACTTTCAAGGAGACATCTGCAAATTTAGTTTGAAAGTGTGGCCTTAGAAAAGAGGATACAACCCTGCAGTTATTCAAAGAAGAAATTACTTAAATTTTTTGGGGAGTTATAGGTGGGAGCAATGAAGTGAATTGCAGAAAAGGTAGAGTTATGTACTTCAAAAATGATAGGGACACTGTTGAATATTAAAAGGAGAAGTGTAGCAGACATTATTTGAAGCACATAAACTGCTCTGGACAAACCATTTGGTGATATATGGTTCTGTCCTTTTGGGGGAAAGAATTTTCTATGGTTTCTGTTTCTCACATAGTTTCTTTTACTTGACAGGATAAGGCCTAATAACTGAAATAAGCTGGTAGCACCAGTTAACAAGTGCCAACTTTTGAGTTAGTCCCTGTGTAAAACAGACAAAGCTTTAAGTATTTAGGAGATGTGTATGTTATGTTTATTTATGAAGGGATACTGAAACAAGTTAGAAGCTGGGATACATCTGTGGCATTTTGAAAGTGTTGTTGAAATAACACTTGCAAACACTGTACTAATGACTGAAAATCTGAATTTTCTTATATTTGGAAGGGTAGAGACATGTTGATTGAGAAACTCGTGTCCTGAGTCTCTGATTTTTATGGTAGGTTTTCCATAACTGGACATGTAGTAAAGGAAAGACAGTAACTATAGAAAGAATTTTCATGGTAGGTGGCTGCAATATTGAAGGAGAAGATGAAAGCTGGGATTTTGGCACTGGTGCTGGTTTCTACGTGGATGCCACTGAAGATCCTTGGAAAACAAACTACAGGATGTATTCCTACATAAAAGATGAGGTAACTTTGCTGCTGGGTTCTCCTGGAAGGGGCATGGTTCAGTCATGCTCTTTGTTCTTAGCACCAAAGCTTGCTTGATAGCCTATGGATGGCTGGTTGTTTTCTTGCTCTCATGATTTATTATTTCTTTTTTAATCCTTGGTTATTTCAGTGATTGAGTTTACCCAGTTGTTAGGCCCTTCCTCCCCAGACAGTTACCATGGTAGAACTGAGGAGGGAGAGAACTTCAGCACAGAGGTAGTAACACCTGGCTGGGCCTGAGCAGAAACTCCTCAAGTCTGCTCTGCTTCTTCTGGGGTGACCCACTGCATTTCACTGCACCAGGACTTCAGCTGTATTGCTCATTTAGGCTGTTTGCATGATCTGTCTTGTGAGGGTGAGGTGGTGGTTTAGTTTGTTTTTCTTTAACTGGGTGTAAAAGGAAATCCTTGAAATATATATTAGATTAGAAAGGTGAGTGTCCAGTTTGCCATTCGGGTCACTTACAGGAGCACATGTTTATGTGTCTATTAAAATGAGACTACATTTATAAGGAAATTCTCACATGTAGTGTAATAGAGTTATGATAGATTTCTATAGAGATACTTTGAGTTACTTATTATCAGATGAATTGTTCCCTTTCATTTTTACAGCCCTGTTCAGATTGCTTTCAGGCCATGATTTCAAATGTCAAGCTAAAGCAAAAACGTGTATTTGGTTTCAGCGGCTTCCTGGCATTAAAATGCACTAATTGTTTGTGTACTTCTTTGGCCAAACATGTTTAAGTTGCTTTAATGTTTCTATGCCACTATTAATCCCTTACAGCTGCCTAAACTAATAAATGCCAATTTTCCAACCGACCCTGAACGGATGTCTATTTTCGGTCATTCCATGGGAGGTCATGGAGCTCTTATTCTTGCTCTGAAGAATCCTGGAAAGTACAAAGTAAGATGTAATACAGCTTATAAGAGGTATACTAAGGCTTATGCAGATTTCTATAGAAGGGAAGAAAGAAAACATCATACCAAGTTCTCTTGTAGCATTAAATATATAAATAGTTTTGGTTGTTGCAGTTCATTGATGCCTAGTATTAGAATACAGGAAACTGCCAGAAACACCACTGTGGAATGTGGCTATCAGTGAAATTAAAAAAAAAAAAAAAAAATCTGCAGAAGTTAAGAAAAGTTTGTTTTCTCTTGGATGATGCTACAGCTCTTCCAAACTAATTGATATATTTATGCCTTAACAGGATCCTTCTAGCTCTGGAGTTGTGTGATTTGCTGTATCTTTTAAAATCTTGTCTTGTTCATTTTGGAGCTTTTATTACTAGCAAAACTTTTCACCCCCATTATGTGTGTGTTTGCTTAGAATTCTCTATGGAGTCTATTAACTCCAACTGATAGCAAGTGTAACTGTAAGAACCTGAACTTCACACAGAATAGTATCTGGAGGACTTTCCCTCCTGCCTCTTTTCCCCAGGACTTGCATGTCAGAGTTCCTAAAGCTTGATTTTGGGAGTATTCAAGGTACCTCAAGTTGTGTTCATTTGTATTCTACTTGAACATAAATCAAACATGCTGGAACTGGTTTACCTTTCCTTGATGCTCATGAGGATTGTGAGAAATTTTGTTCTCTTTGGAGATATGCTTGTGTAAAATGCATTTCTGAGGGAGAATCCAGCATTGGTATTTGAGAGATGAGGGGCTCAGCCTTTGTGGGTCAGTCCTTTCATGGGCTGTCCTGGACCTGCACTTTGTGGTCAGCTGCTGCAAAAATGAAACTGCATTTTTTGAAAATAGCATAACATTTGCTCAGCGTCAGTGACTTGGCGTTATAAGAGAGTTGAATGAAAGATAAGGCTTTATTTTTATCTCTCCTTTTTGCCTTTTGGAGCCAGTAGTTCAGAAATTTCCATTTTTACTGTTGGCACTTAACTGTTAATTGTATTATCTAAAAGAATTAAACATTAAATTGTAAATATCAAAATCCAGGAGAAGTGGCAGTGGCTCAGATGGTTTGTTGCTATTTCTTGCAAGACATGAGTGGTAATATTGATGTCCCAGGGCTAGATCCAAAAGAAGAATATAAGAACAGGACTTGGACTTCTGACCCCAATACCTGGAGTTGTGATCTGAAATGTGCTTTCCTTGACCCCTAATCCTGGAGGTACATAAATTCATGAGACACTGTTGCACACTTAGAGTGGCTGAGCAGCCAGATGCCTCGGGCTTTTGTTATGCTCTGCCAAAATCCACTGGGAGGTGAAATGGTCCCACACTCGGACCATGCTGACCCAACAGTAGACTTGAGATCCTTCTCTGCTGCTTAAGGGAATTCAGGCCAGCATCTCCTGACAAGGAAAGGAACGGGGTGTCTAGCCCTGCCTTTTGAAGCTTGGCTGGTGTGCAAAAAGGAAAGCAAAACTGTGGGGGTAGAAAGAACAAATAAGAGGGAAGTAGAATAATGGTTAGGGTACCTTGCTCAGAGGGTTGGTGAGGGAGTCCTGGGTTCTGGCAGTAACTTCAGGTTTTGCAAAGGCTTTTACTTTGCTTGTTAGCAGAAATCACTTTTCTTAATTCATACTTTTTTTTTTTTTCATGCTTTCTTTCTGAACAGTCTGTATCAGCATTTGCTCCTATCTGCAACCCTATTCAGTGTCAATGGGGGAAGAAAGCCCTTGGTGGATATCTGGGATCAGATGTAAGCAAATGGGAGGTATGTGTTGCAACTTGCAGTCCTTTAATAATGCAAGAACGAGTGATCTGTAGCTATATCACAGCAGGAGTCTGGGACAACCTCCAGGGTGCTCCTGAACTGGCAGTACTGCTGCTGTTTTACTACACCCCTAAGCATGGATAAGTGTTCCTGGTGGGTATGACTTGCTGTTGACTGATGGTGTTTAGAACAAACTCAATGAGACAGAAGGCTCTCATTAAATGACTGAATTCCTCCCTGTTTTATGAAGTTCTTAAAAGCTGGGCTAAGAAGAATTGTGAGCAGTCTGGGGCTTCCTCTAACACATGGAAGCAGTGAGCAGTTTAGAAGAGAGTTAGGCCTGTTTCTCAAAAACTCAGTTCTCAATATACAAACTAGCTGGTTTTTTTGTAGTAGCCCGAAAAGAGAGAGACTGCTACAAACTGCTCAGGGACTGATGAATCATAGAATCACAGAATGTCAGGGATTGGAAGGGACCTCGAAAGATCATCTAGTCCAGTCCCCCTGCCGGAGCAGGAACCTAAATGAGATCACACAGGAAGGCGTCCAGGCGGGTTCTGAATGTCTCCCGAGAAGGAGACTCCACAACCTCTCTGATGAGAGATGAGCCTCCTGGCATTCTGCAGGGGCAGCCTGTTGGAGGCAGCCCACTGGATACTTGGAAATTGATATCCCTGTAGAACAGGATTGAACCAGACCAAGTTAGGTTTTAGTTCCAGGGGCCTAATTTTGAAATACAGGTAGTTGTATATGAATTGTCAAGATACAAAAATGTTTGTGTGCCTGTTGCTGCATTATTTGGGCAGCCCTTCAGTATTTTTGATCTCAGCATAAACATTGCACTGTGTCTCTAGCTGAGTTAGAAGGGACCATTGTGACCAGGTACTCTTATTTCCTTGTAAATAAACACAAGCTGCAGTTAAATCCCTTGTAAAGTGAATTAAAGTATCTCTTACAAATACATCCAGGTCTGATTAAAACATTGCAGGAATGGAGAGCACTAGCTGCTTTTACAATTGTTAAGGGAGTAGTTTGTATATTTAACAATCTCAGTTAAATTTGCTTAATACACTTAATACATTTATTTTGAAAAAAAAAAAAAAAAAAAAAAAGTTTTCTGGCCCCCAAACTTGCTTTGGAGCTCTTCTGTAAACCCAGTCCAGTAGATCTGCAGCAGGCATCAGGAACACACTTAGACCTGCCTTTGGCACAGACTTCACCCGCTGTGTCCCTCAGAGTTCAATTCTCGGGCCAGTCCTGTTCAGTATATTTATCAATGATGTGGATGCAGGAGTTGAATGCACCATTAGCAAGTTTGCTGATGATACCAAACTGGGAGGTGCTGTTGAGAAAGGAGGCTGAGGGGCCACCTCATTGCTCTCTGCAGCTTCCTGAGGAGGGGAAGTGGAGTGGGAGGTGCTGATCCCTTCTCCCTGGTAGCCAGTGACAGGATGCCTGGGAATGGTTCAAACCTGTGCCAGGGGAGGTTTAGACTGGACATGAGGAAGCATTTATTTACCAGGAGGGTGGTCAGACACTGGAACAGGCTTTCTAGAGAGGTGGTCAATGCCCCAAACCTGTCAGTGTTTAAGAGGCATTTGGACAACGCCCTTAACAACATGCTTTAACTTCTGGTCAGCCCTGAATTGCTCAGGCAGTTGGACTGTGGATCATCATAGGTCCCTTCCAACTGAAATGGTCTAGTCTGTTCTATTTTATATGCAACCTCTGATCTCCGTATTTCCACTTAAAATTGCCATGTGTTACACTAGTGTTTTGACCTTTAGCTGCCAAAATAGTTGCATCAAGATACCAAGTTATTTTGACAGGATCTAGTTTCTGTACGAGCATGTGAATCAGCACGAGGTTATATGGCCTATGTCTTCAATTCTGTGTGAATTTAGCCCTGGGCTGGACGTTCTGTTTGGTCCAGAAATGATGTCAAACTGTCAACTTGGTAATTACTTAGATCATACCATTTGCCTTTTTAAAAACATGAGTATAACTTTTCAATTGTCTGGAATTTCCCCACTTTTTTGCTTTTCCAAAGTAGAGCTTGGTTTCCTGATCAGTATCACCCAGGACTCTATATATGCCATTCTTTCCTTGCAGTCAGCAAATTTGACCCAGTCTAATGTATGTAACTCAATGTCATGTCTCTTTTATTCCTGCAGGCGTATGATGCTACACAACTTGTGAAGTCCTATCCAGACTCTCACCTGGACATCTTGATTGATCAAGGCAAAGATGACCAGTTTCTATCAGCAGGCCAGCTACTGCCCGATAACTTCATCGCTGCCTGCACAGAGCGGAAAATCCCAGTCGTCTTTAGACTGCAGCAGGCAAGTGGCTTCTGCAATCCATGACTGTTGGGTTGTTGGTTTGGGGTTTATGGAGCAGGTAGCAAAGAGGGTGTCTCTTCACTAGGCATGCTTTTACTTACCTGGCAAGTGAGGAAGAGGATGAGAAGTGACATTTTTCCCTAAAATCGGCCTTCAAGGAGTGCAATATCCATCAGATTCAGCTGCCTTTCACCACTAGGTGGGGTCATGATTTTAGTTTCAACAAGCAGATCCAGTGATGGTAACTCAGGCTGCCAGTGGTTGGCTGAAGAAGCAGCATTAATGATCTTTAATAAGTATCACAGTGACTCTACAAGCAGTGACAGATGTTGGAAAAGGAGCTGGGGGCACTGGTCAACAGCCAGCTGAACATGAGCCAGCAGTGTGCCCAGGTGGCCAAGAAGGCCAATAGCATCCTGGCTTGTATCAGGAACAGTGTGGCCAGTAGGAACAGGGAAGCGATTGTCCCCCTGTACTCAGCACTGGTGAGGCCACACCTTGAGCACTGTGTTCAGTTTTGGGCCCCTCACTACAGGAAAGATACTGAGGTGCTCGAGTATGTCCAGAGAAGGGCAACGGAGCCGGTGAAGGGTCTGGAGCGGCTGAGGGAACTGGGGTTGTTTAGCCTGGAGAAAAGGAGGCTCAGGGGAGATCTTATTGATTTCTCCAGCTACCTGAAAGGAGGTTGTAGAGAGATGGGGATCGGTCTCTTCTCCCTATAGAACAAGAGCAAACGGCCTCAAGTCGCACCAGGGGAGGTTTAGGATATTATTGGATATTAGGAAAAATTTCTTCACTGAAAGTGTTGTCAAGCATTGGAAGAGGCTGCCCAGGGAAGTGGTGGAGTCATCACCCCTGGGGGTATTTAAAAGACAAGGCTTAGAGGTGGACTTGGCAGTGCTAGGTTAATGGTTGGACTCGATGAGTTTAAAGGTCTTTTCCAACCTAAATGATTCTGTGACTCTATGTACTTTTGCTGGATTCCTTATCCGTACTGTGGGTGTTGTGTTCAGCACAAAACTTTGTGATTTAGTTTGTGTGTGTTTGTGTAAATCGGGAAAGGTGTGAAATTGCTTGAAATCTTATTAATTTAAATACCCAGGTGGAAGGATTCTCTTTCCTATAGTGCAGTGACCCAGAACAGCGCTGTCCTGAGGGCACTGGAGTCTCCGTAGGCGACTGATAACTTCAAGCCAGACCCAGTGAGGGACTCAGGCGGGGAGAATGAGGGATTGTCCTCTCTGATTTATCATAAGCCCTGCACCAAAAGATAAGTGGCGTAGTTCAGAGGTTTACAAGTTATTTTAGCTTAGTGCTGGAGCAGTAATTGAGACCTGGGCTGTGTTCTCCTTACCCCGTGTTTTACCAGTAGGGCAGTGCCAGTGAGGGGAACTGTTCTCTCAAATGGCGCCCTGCTCTGCAGCTGGCACTCGCCGTTTGCCATCTCTAACTTACGTGCTCAGGTTAAGGTACATTCTGTTTCATAGATACTGAACCTGTTTGTTAGGTGTCCTTTACAGTTTTTATATATAATACAGGTATTTTTTATTTCTTAAATCAGATCAAACCAGAAGAGTCATTAACTTTCCTAGAAGAGAGCTTAGCATGATTGCTTTATCATGACTAATGTATTTGCTGATTTCTTTGTTGTTTGTTTGTTTTTTCTAGGGTTACGATCACAGCTATTTTTTCATTGCTACATTTATTAATGACCACATCAAGCACCATGCAAAATACCTCAATGCTTGAACCATTTGGATGGGAGTGTTGTCTGTCCAATACACATCAGTGGATTGAGGTGAACGAAACAAAAATGATTTGCTGAAGTAGTGTCTGTAAAATGGAGCTCTTCTGATTGTACTGCTAAGAAAAATAAAGGTCCCACTTAATTTGATGTGTGTGCTTTAGAGTAAGTATATTTGGAATGTTTTTGTATGCTTTGAAAACTCTCTCAACACCGTGAAGGTGCGTGCTGCATTCAAGGTCAAAATGTCATTTCAGGCTGTGAAGGTGGGTATGTGCTTGGGACCTCAAGATGGTTTCTAGTGCAACTGCACAGAGACTATGAATAACAACAGCGTGTCTCTTCAGCTAATTATATACCAGGGCTCGCTTCATCACTTAGTGCTGAAAGAAGTTGTTAGTGGCACAACCAATCAAGCTACTTAATTAATCTGTCTAAATACATTCCAAGGACAAGGTCTGGTGGAGAATACAAACAGAAGCTTGCTGTACAGAGTAGTTTACTGTCCTGTGCCTTACTAACATAAAAAAAATCATCTGAATAGTATTTCATGGATGATACTTAAAAGACCTCTTACAAACCACGTGAAGGAAGCAGTATATAGTAAAGGGCTTGTTTGGGTTTTTTTCCTCCACTTGCCTTTGTTGCTGAGTGTAAAAGGCTTATGCTGCATTTATGAGTTTCTTTCTTGGACATAACAGGGCTGAGGGGAAACTGATAAACAGATCTGAAAAAAGCATTTTCTCTCTCTATAGATGATGTGGTATCTCGTTGAAAATGAGCATGCTTATTTTACAGAAGACGGCAGAATTTAGGCCTGACAGTTGTAGGTCTAAAATAGTTCCCAGTGGTATAATTCTGCCAGCTACCTTGTGTGGGGCAAGGACACAGACTGTTCCAGTGAACTGTTTATCTTGCGTTCAGGCGATCACTTGTAAACTCTGCTTTCCTGTGGTTCAGCTGAACCGGCATCGTTGCTCAAACCGTGTCTCGCTCTTGCCAGAGGAAACGTGAGGGTAGATGTAGGAGCAGTTTGTTTGTGTAAGCAGCGCGGAATGAATGCTCTCCTGTGTCTCCAGCCCCTGCTAGATTCTAGGTTGCAGCAAGGATGACGCTGGGAACTACGTTTCTGTTGGTGGTGACTGCTTTAAATTATGTATTGACTTTTATCAGTCTTGCATCTACCTATTTATTTCTGAAGTAAGCTTAGAAGGCTGGGGAGATGGACTGCGCGCATTGCAAGGGTTCTCTGAAATGCTCACTGCAGGTTTTCCACACTGTGCAGGTTTACAACAGACACTTAACTCCTCCTTTCTTATAAAGCAGGACACTGACATAAACGTTTTAAGCCACAAGTGCTAAACATTTAACCTTTTTCCACTCCCGCAACACCAACTTGGCTCAAAGGCTTGTTGATTGTGTGGCAGCTTCTTCCAGGCACCTTCTCTGCCATAGCCAGCACATGAATTCTTGGGCTGTATCTAATACTGGGCTGGAGCAGAAGTGTGCTGTGCTGGTACTGCACCCTTGTGCCCAGTACTACCAAGAGTAGCAGTGGAGTTGGGGTGCTCAGGTTGGTGCAGCAGGTACTTCTAATGAGAAACATTTCCATTTGTTAGTTGTCAGAGCTAGTCTTTTTTTTGCCTAATGCCCTGTGATAACTGTATTTAAGGGAAAGGGGTATGCCTCCTTTTGTTTTTTTCCTTTTCATTCCCTGACAGGAGCATGTGCACCTGCCTGTTATATTAGAGATTAAAAAGCAGGTTTAACCCTGTAATTTACAGTAAGTGCTTTTAAACCACCATTTTAAAGCTGCTGAGTTAATGGTAGGAAACAGCTTGCCCTGTGTGGGGTTGGGGGGCGGGGGAGGGAAGCCCTCTTTCATACTTGATCTATGGCATAATTCTGTTTCACATTATACTGGGGATAGTTGTGGGGAGCTTTATTTCCTGTATCCTTAATTTACAGTCCAACAGGAGATCAATTACCACATCAGCTTCCCCAAATGACTGCTCAGCTACAAGTTTGGAGCTGAAAATGCCTGTAATATTTTCTGCTCAGTGCTCCTAATAATTGACTGCCCTCCTACATCGTTTTCTTTCTTGATAAAACTGAGTATTTACATGCACAGCCACCTTCCTCCTTGAGGGGGACTGCCTGATGCCTCGCTTCTGAGCAGGAGCATGTTCAGGTGTCTGATGGGCTCTTGTGAGTCTGAGAGAACTTGCTGTGGAATTCAGTAACCTCAGGTGTTTACAGAAACTGCCCTGAGCTCTTACAAAAGGAAGGGGCCCTGGAACTGCCCTTGCCACAAGCTGCAAGTCCAGGGCAGTGCAAACCTGTGAGAAGACTTGGAGCACTTGATTCAGTTGAGCAGATGGCTACAGACACCAACTGTCTCTGCAGCACCTTGATGAGAATTGTGTGAGGCTGTCAGATGGCTGGTGCTGACCATGCTCAAAGCCCAGCTGGAGAGGGCCTGCAGCTGCCTGCTGCTCACCAGGCTCTGCTCTTGGTGAGGAGCAGCACCAGGGGACTGCTGCAGGCCTCTGCCTGAACAAGTTATGCTGATTCTCATACAGACATCTGTCCTGGCTTTGTATCACAACAGCCACAAAGACACTCGGCTTCCTTGGTGATCAAAGGTAGATTCTCCCCAGACCACTCCAAAAGAGAACAAATACAGCTATAAACTCACTTGGTTAAGGTAAAGCCTTTTCATTAGAGAAATGAGAAAACAGCAGAATCTGTACTTACAGGACTTCAGCAACCTGCATGGGAAAGAGAAGGCTCTATGCTATGGCCTACAAGCAGTAGTACCTACTACCCATTTCTGCAGAGACAGGAGATGGGCAAAGCAGCTTGGCACAGCCTGGTCACATTGTGTTCTCCCCAAGTCAGAAAGCGTTACTGTGGTATTTTGCTTGGCTTCACTGGAATAAAGAAATCATCAGATTTTGCCTGCTAAAGCACAAGCCTGCAGAATCATCTCTGCATTTCAGGAGGGCAGGGAGGAAAAAGAGCTCGCTGTGCCGAGAAGCAGCAAGCAGCACACAGAATGACTCTCGCAGAGCGATGGGTGCCAGGAGCAAGCTGAAGGTGTGGGGTCACCCAGCCCTGGAGGCAGCAGGGACTTCATTCAAGTGCTGCTGTTCACTCCCTGACCGGCAGGAGACCTTAAGCAACAGGAGCAGCAAAGCTGCAGGAAGCTGATGTGCAGGAACTGACACCAAAGGGACAACCCAACAGTCACAGCTGGATCCTATCCTGGTTTAGCTGCAAACTTCCTTTATTTGGGTCACATCATCATCTTTCCTCCATCCCCACAACCTCATCCCTCATTCCCAGTGCTGAGCTCTCCAAACACCATCTCGTTTACAGGAAACTGCCAGTCACAGGGGTAGTCACCCAAGGGTTCCTACAAATAATATAGTTTAATTGTAACTACAGTAAAGATCTCTATACATTGTGTTCACTGCTTAGGGTGTTACAGATTTGCCATGCATGTTTTATTGCACATATAAATAGTGTACAAAGATTCATGGAGGTTCTCTTTTAGCCGTACAGGTTTAAGACTGCATAAAAAAAGCTGTATTACAAAATATTTAGAGCTATTTATTTACAGCCAACTTCAAGCAAATACTGAAAGACACTATGAGGAGAAAAATGAAATTTTAATTATGAAAAAACAAGATTTGTCAAAATAATAATTACAAAGCTTCATGTTGCCATATATACATTGTAAAAAAATACTCAGGAAACCTGCATTTTATCCCTCAAGATGCAGAAATCAATATTCCTATTTTTATACTTGATCTTTGAATGCTTTTAAAATTTGATAAACTCTGACTTGAAAACTTTCTTTACATTGCTTATGCTTTTTTGACAAAACAGATATTTGTGCAGCTTTGTAAAATATTAAAATACATCTTAATTTAGTGTTAAAGTGCACAGTACATTTTATAGGAAACAATATGCTAGCTGCCAATCACAATTACAATTTGAGTCAATGTTCCCTCTATAAAATAAACACTTTTGCTTTGGTTGAAGTAACTGGATAATCCATGCATACTCTATGTGTCTCACTGGCTATGAGTCCACTTGCATCCTCCTCACACGCTGCTGCCGGTACCTACCAGCACATTGGCAATTTGTGGTGTTAAAACACGTCGTCTGCACTCAAATACAGTATTAATCATTAAAAATCTGCGGCAGGAACACCGCTGGGTTTCCATGCAGTGTCTGTGTGAACGTGCGTGTCACTCTGCCTGGATACGTAGTAGGACAAGTATGCATCATCCTTCCAAAAAGTCTTTATACCATAGTTCTCTCCACAGTCCTTTGCTTAAGTATTCAGTCCTCCCACCACACACCTGGCCTCTTTTTTGTCATTATGCATTCCGAGCTACCTGCCTGTGTGCAACGCTGACCCCTAACCGCTCACCTTTTCCCCACATGCAGCTTCCCTGTCCCCCATGCCAAAGGTACACCGCTGGCTTCTCCTCTGAAAGACAAACGGATGCTTCTGATACTGAGCATCGCCCTGCTGGAACTTTTTGATCTAAAACATGGCATGTTTTAATAACAAATTATGCTTTTAAAGATCTCTTCAAAAAAACTAAAAGTAGTGATAAGAAAAAGAACCTTATTTTCTATTGCTGAGATGGGATTAGAGGTCTGATCCTCCAAACGTTCCCTGTGGAACATTGTGCTTAATTCTGTGGGAAAAGGATAGAGGTGCTAAGGAGAAGCACTGGACCCAGCAGGTCCTATCGAGAGGATCAGGTCTCTGAGACTGCCTTTGGCAATTTTAATTATTTTATCTCCTCTCGAAGGAATCATTGAAGAAAACAATCAAATTTTTTTGGCTACCTGGTAGATTTTCTCCCTAATGTTCTTGTGCTGCTTCTTATTATTTGTTCTGTAGTGCTGTAGTCTTTAACAGAAATCAAGTTACAGTGCAAAATTATATTTCAAGACACATGATCCTAATGCACATCATTCATTTTGTTGTGGCAAAAGTTAAATGTCTTGTGCATAGTAAAATAAGCAATCAAAAATATTTGTTCACATTTGCATTTGTTTTTCAAGTTTATATATTTCCTTTTTTTTTTTCTTTTTAAACATCTATATACAAATAAAATGGGTGTGCTCTCAGTTTCAGCCAATTGAGTCTAGTGGGGGGAAAAGTGCTACTGGAATGTAGGAAACTCAATGGAATGCAGAAAAAATTTTACCAATGTTCCACAAATTCAAGAAAAAGAATGCCATTCCAGCTTGCTGTTATTTTAATAAAAGCACCTATTTTGTTTGCTTTTTATCTTACCTATTAGAAAATACAATTCATGGAGATCTAGAGCTACTGCACACCAAGTAGAATAAAAAATAACTAAATATTTATATTAAAATAAAGTGTTTAACCACAAAAAAGCAGTAATAAAATACAGTTTCCTAATTTACATTTTGCATCCAAAGGATGAATAACAACTCACTAATAAATAATATTTATATAAATATTTTATGTCTGCATATTTTTAAAATGCAATAGCCTGAAGCAACTGCAGAAAAACCTAACGTGGTAGAAGTCTGATTTACTCTTCCCCCCCCTCCAGCAATGATTACAATGATTCTTAGTTTAATAATACAAAGGTATCTTGCTGCAAGACAGCTGTGTACTCCACACGTTTTTAGGTGGCAGAGAGGTGGCTGTTTTAGGAAGTACTGTACAAAGTGAGCTAGAAAAGCAGTGAAGCGCCAGTTTGCTGTACAAAATGTTTCTGTTTAGTTTCTGGTTTGTAGTTCGACGCACATGTACAGTCTAAAAGATTATTTTAAAATCAGAAGTATAAGAACACTCTTGGAGCTCTGGGGTTCTTTTTCAATGCAGTTTGAAAAGATGGGCAGTATTTTGATTCTTTGATGGCACAGTGGAGCTGGTAACAGAGTAGTTTCATGTGAATAAAGCTTGTTTCACTGTGGTTACGTCTAGCAATGCTTGAACTGTTATGCTCACTTTTACCAAGCCCTTTTCTTCTAGGATGTGATGTGGTAGGCAGAGCTTCTCCTAGAAAAAGACAAACAGAGGAGTAAAGATTAGGATATTCACTGCAAAACTTTGCTTTACATGAACACAGTTGGAACACGAAACCCAACAAGTAGGAACCATTTCCTATTTTTTATTAAAAAGTATTTCCTGTGATTTTGAAAGAAAGTCTCTCATTTTGCTCTCATTATACCCACAAATTAGTGAGAGATCTGTTAACATCCTGGGCCTCAGAAACCAACCTGTTCTGTGGACATCTTAATTAAGAGTGAGGGCCAGCAAGTACACACTGACCTTTCACCCACGAAGTGAGATAACATGGCATTTACCCATTATTATGTATGAATAAGTTTGGGGACAGAAGGCTGGTTTCATCAGTCAAAAAAAGTTCTACCACTGAGCTCTACACAGGTAGGTCTTGGTCCCAGGCTACGCACCTTGAAAGCCACTTGTTAGCATCTACAGCAAAGTGTGTGTATTGTTGCACATTCAATGGGCAAAGCGTTTCATTCTGAGTAATTAGCAGCTTATTTTGAAATACCCAGGAATCATCTTTATTCACCATTAGGACACAGCAGTCACGGACAGGAGGAAACCTACTAGCTGTCCACAGAGGCTGTTACACCAGAAGACAGTCAAACAGTAGATGCTGTATCTCCTACCAGTAACAAGAAACCCTCCAGTGAATAACTACAGAAAGCCTTGCTTAGCGGTAGCCTCGTCTCATGATTGACTCTCTCTCTAAAAATAAGTTTTTCTTAATGTAACTGGGTATTCCCACCAATGAAATCCATGAAATTATGAAATCAGGCGGCAGGTTTATAAAAAAAATAAATGGACAGGCTTGACTACATCACATAAACCAGAATTACAGCTGTGAGACTTACTGCCACAACATGGAAGCCAAAAGTGTAAGTGGGATGACAAAAATATAGAGATAGAAAAAAACCCAAACAGTGCTATTAAACACAAACACGTGGATACAGGGTCTGGCTCATGAAGTCCTTATACTGTGCATGTCAGATTGCTGAAAGTCTGAAAAGGCACCATCTGTGTGATCTCACCTT